TTTTTTATTTTATTTTATTCTCATTCTACGTGACTTTACCGAAAGAACCAAAGAAGATGAATCCTTGCAGTCACGAAAGCTTTAAATCGAAGCTTCACATTCCCTATTTCCGTACAAAAACCGGAGGAAGGGCCTTTGCTATTGATGCCCCCAGGGTCTGGAATGCTATTGCCAATGTACTGCAACTTGAACCACTACCTATGCGATCTTCACTCAAAACTGCTCTAGAGGAGTTGTACACCCCTAGCTGCCACTGCTATTCAGTGGCCTAAAATAAAATTAAATGTTTCGCTCCGGATGACCGCTGCAAAGTATGATCTATATTTAGATTAAGTGTGCTGATCTTAAAAGTGCATTAAAAAATTTGATATTCCGACTGATGCTCCTGTTGTTGTGGAGTGACTCATGCAGTCAGCTGTGGCTGCAGGGTTTGGCGTTACATGTTGTTTGTCGTTTATTCTGAAAATTCGGTCACAGTTCCTATGGTCACTGTTACATTGCATTTATGGATTTATTTTGGTGATGTCGAAAAGTTTTTTGGTTTGGCCATGTTTGTTTGTTGTAGTACGGAGTTAGACTGATGGCCTTAATCTAAGTTGTCTTGTGGTTGTTGTTTGACTTGCATCCCACTGGGATTTTTGCACACAGCGTTGGTGTATAATGCTATTTCAGGAATATTTTGCTGTTTTTTCCTGGATTTTCTGTTTGCACAGTCACATAGTCACTTTAAGATGTTTTCTTGTTCATGTTTTTGTGTTTGTTGCGGTTGCACCCGATTCAAGAGCCGAATGGCTCACAGGGCTATACCAAATAAATGTAAATTGAAAAACTGAAAGAAAACTGTTGTGACATCTCAAAAGAGGGCGTTTGAGGAGTGAGGGAAAGGAAGCGCAGCACACTGCAAAGGTGACCATCATGTTGTCTCCGGTTCGGACAAACAACAGTAGGAGCTGTTGTAGCACTTGCCCAATCGTCTGGTTGAAGCTATGCGGGCGATCTTTGTATTAGTATTTTTAGAATATAAGCTCCACTCAACATTGGCATGGCCCAATTGTTATTTGATTAATGCCGAACTAGAATCAGAATTATGTTTAAATGGTGACAGATGAAGTCATCCGCATGAACTTTCACCTCATATTGCAATTGCTGTCGAAAGAAGTGAGATGTGGAAAATATTGCTCTCTGGTCTCTGCCAAGCTTGCAGTCAATGACATCAAAAACTAATTATTACTATTTTAATTACAATGACATTTCTAATTACTGGAAGGGCATCACTAATGCCACATTGTTCATCCTGAAAGGCAGCACCCAATGCCATGGATGAAATGTTAATATTTATTTTATGTAATGTTCTATAATAAGTCGTCATGGAATTTTACGTAATACCACACTGTATAGCTGATATTTAAACCACTTTAAACAATGTTATCGTCAAAGTGTGTCTAAGTGCATTAAAGGTAGAATTTTTTTATCATTTCCCTTTCCTTGTTTAGTTTTTTATATCATCATCATTATCCACACAGCAACCGTGCCCCAGATATAAAAGCATTTTAGTACACATTCTCTGTCCTGTTCACGACGTGAATTTAATGAGAATACATAAAAGACTGACTATAATACTGCAAATTCACTTCGACCCTTTGTCTCTATTACAAAACTCAGGATAGATTAACTATGGGGGTCCTGCATCTGCATACGTTTTGTTATAATATGGTAAATCATTTTCAAAATGTCACCGTCTTTAAAAACAGTCGCACATACATATCTAAAAATGCAGCACATACATAAATTAATATATGCATCCACACGTACTTACGTGCAATACATACGCGGAATGTAACTAAATCCAATCCCCTCGCTAACCGTAACATTTCCCAAATATGAGGTTGCGATTCAACTGAAGAGTCCACTATTGTTTTCCATTGTGGTACAGATAGCATCTTTTTGGGGCAGTGATATGGAATAGCTGTAGTGCGTTCCCCGCTTGTTGCAGAGGTGCACGGTTCAAATCCAGTAGGCTGCACTGGTTAACACTATGCTCGTATTAACTCCAACTTCCACGTCGTATAAGAGATGGTATAGATCCCATGTCGTCATCGGAAGAAGAGTTTGTGTGCCGCTGTCATGGTCCACATTTTCAGAAATTGAATAAATGGCTCGCAAATTACTTCATTGTGAAACACATAGCAAGTCCCACCACCACCGCCCCCTCTCTCCGGACTACGAAAACTTAGCAGTACCTTCCTTTTTAAATTGCAACTCAACACGAGCCCAGCACTAAGCACGGGTGACAGAACAAGAGGTGGCGGTGGGGGGGAGAACAGACACTCGGCGAGTGACAGCCCAATATCGGCGTGCCGGGGACTTAGCGAGGGAGGGGAGGGAATTTGGGCTCTCTGCCCCCACCCAAGTGGGGACCACAAGCGAGAACATGAAAGCTTGATTGGGGAGGGGAGGATGGGGGGACAGAAAACGAACATCGTGGGCGGAGAGAGGGGGCTGGGAAATGGTCGGGACGCGGGGGGGGGGGGGGGAATTAGCAGTACCCTCAACGAGAGTTTTGAGACTCGGTGAGACATTCCCTGGTAAAGAAGTGTAATACTATTTCGTAGCTTGCAGGTGATACGTGAAGTAATTCATTTCCATAGTGTATACAAACCGAACCGTATTGATTCTTACACGCACTATTCGATGCATCAATCAAGCATGTAATAATCCACCTTAATCGTTTAACTGAAGCATCGGACACACACAATCGATGGGGGACTGTAATGCAACATAGCAGAGTGTGAGAAAGTGTGACCCCCCCCCCCCTCCTCCATTGGGTAAGGACAAAAAGTCCATCTTCACGGATTTTTTTCAGAAAGCCCAAAATCTCTTCAGCAGCCATGATCAGACACTAGGGGTGCACTACTCTATGCCAGAATAAAAAATATTTTTTTAAAAACATTAAATTGAGGAACATAATCACAATGATTTTATTGTTGGAGTGAGTGTTGTTCGCAAGCGCCTGTTTGCCTGCACAACTAAACTGAATTCGTTTTTATTTCACCAGGTATGGCCCACTGAGCTATATAGCTCTTTTTCAGAAGTAACCTGGCCACAAATGATAGCCCAATGAAGTGGCTTATCACGTTAAAATTTATAGCAGCCAAATACTCTAAACGCATGTTTCTAAATGTGGAGGGAAAAACCAGAGGACCCGGAGAAAAATCCACGCGACCATGGGGAGAGAAACGCAAACTCCAAATATACAACAGGCGTCAGGGTCGGGATCGAACCGACAACCTCCTGTACACCCAGAGAGGTAATTAACATCTCCTAGCCACCGTGGCACCCATATATAGATCATATAAGCCACAGCAAAACAGCACACATGGCCAGATGCCTCTGCACTCCAGAGCACTGTGCTAAGTGTTCCAGTTAAAATAAGTTGATCTCAATATAAAACACAATCTAAATATATATGTTTTATTATTAAAGCTAATATTAAATGTTCTATACTAATGTTATAAAAGCCTACTCAGCAGATCAATTTCTATGCCAAAGCATAGACTATACATAATACACAACGAAGTTCCCCTTAATAGAGACCTTGTTATTTGATGCTCCTATTATCCATGACCCAATCGATGCCCAGGAAAGACGACTGCCATGTGTATTTAGTAATGGGGTGGAACGGTGGTGCAGCGGTTAGTGAACCCAAGTGGCTTGACTGCAATTCCAGGCCACAGCTGAACGTGAGCGGCGAGTGACATTTGAAGCGGACCTTCCCCCCTCACAACCACTTCACCCACTCGCACCAAGCGGCGTGAAGTATGGTCAAACAACCCCACAGCCAACAAAGGCCTTCATCCAGCAGTGCTTTCACAAAGGTGTATAACGTATTACTTTTTAATTACCCATTGTGGATAATAAAATATATTTCATCAAACGTGGGTCATTTCACTTGCACACAGTGGTCTACTCACGAGAAATTACATCACAGAAGTTGTTTTTAATTCTGCAGCAGTCAGCACACTTTGATAACGTTCAACACCATTACTGGCCAGAGGTGGGACTCAAACCTCCCAGTAGAATACAGCATCGAGTCGTGTTCCCCGGCGGATACTTACAAGTACTTTGCGTGCCATCATCTCATGTGCCAACCACCAAACTGTCCAGCTGGTCCACGATTTTGCCTGTGTTACACCTTATCAAGTCACCCATCCATTCTATGAGTGGGCTGCACGTGGGGAATGTTTAAAATGAGCTCACTTGCATTGATGTAGGGAAGGGAAACGAATACCCACGCCACAGGCTTGTCAATCTGCCTCATTAGGTTGCCTTAGCTTCTAAGTTGGGGGGGGGGGGGCATTTATATTAAATTTTAGAAATGCTACGAGGTGGAGAAACATGGATTCTGCACTGTGCTTTCTGTAACCCTCCACGTTAAATAATCTTAATTGGAAACAAACAGCCTCATGCACCCTGCTAATCATCGCGTGACAGGGTTTTATATATGTATATGTAAATCAGGGTTTTCATACAAAACCACCTTAAACCGATTTGGTCAATATTACAACATACGCAGTGGCGAACGTGTTGGCGTGCTTTAGTTGCTTGATGGTTGCGCGCACAAATGATTGGGAAAGGTTTTCTCAGGGTTAGAAAATAGCAGCCTTTCTCACCTACATCGTCAGACTGGTTTCGTGGTTAAAAGAAGAATTCCCCCCAAAGCGGGAATAAACGTTGGCGTTGCTAATTAAGTTCTGAATTTATGCCAGTCGGCCCTGCATGGACACGAACTCTTGACAATTCTCGACGGAGTTTCACATATCGGCGGTGACATCATGTTGACGTCAAATGCTCAGAATTTATGAAGCCCTAAGCCAGCTGTTTACAAGTTCGTTGTAAATTATTCACGTCACTTCAACATGCCACCCACATGCACTGCAGAAATTCACAAAGGTCCCACCATAGCAGAGCTGTTGGTTCTTGGTGTACGTTTGTTTTCTGACCTTGTGTGTGGTGGAGTAGCTGGTGGTTGCTGGTGGAGTAGCTGGTGGTTGCCTTGCCAGCGTTGTCTCTTCTCCTAAACACTTGTGGAGTTGAGTGCAAGATTTTAATCAGCTGTGGAAAAGACTTAGGAGACAAAGGGGCCAAGGTATAAGAATGGAAGCAAAGCGCGTCAGATACATCATAAACTTACTTTCAATTAGTTACATTTTATTTTCTAATATTGATGCAATTTGTAATGTATTCTGAAGTAGTGAAATCGCAGCTCAAGAAAAACTTTGTTACTGATGACGTCAATGTGTTTAATTGCTTATATTTCTGTTTATATATCAATTTTTTGTTTGTCATTTTCCCCCAACACAATAACACACCTTGCTATCAGCATCAATCCATTTGGATCTCTCGCATAGCAGTGCAACCTTTCGTGTTAGTAAAGAGTGGCCCACAAAAAGTAGATATCACAGAGCTCCCTCTGAGACCCGTTTAACGAGCCACCATTGGTCAACACGGTAGAGGGCAGAACTTTGCCATCTGCTCTGCATATTCGAGGAACGTGTGTTGCATGACAGTTACAATTATATTTAAATTCTGAGCAGTGGAATTTAGCCAAAATTAATTTCGGAAACAAATTGATGGTGATGTTGTTATTGTTGTGTAACCACTGGTCATGGGGCTGAGGCTTAACATAGTGTATGAAAACAACATAGTGTTTACAATTTAAAGTGTATCTATCATTGCTATCTTCTTTGGTTATTTCGGTAAAGTCACATAGAATGAGAATAAAATAATAAAATAGAACAATAAAATTCTCACGACGTTTCGGCCACAACACAAGTGGCCTTCTTCAGGTGAAAGGAACAAACACCTGAAGAAGGCCACTTGTGTTGTGGCCGAAACGTCGTGAGAATTTTATTGTTTTATTTTATTATTTTATTCTCATTCTACGTGACTTTACCGAAAGAACCAAAGAAGATTAATCCTTGCAGTCACGAAAGCTTTAAATCGATATCATTGCTATGTTAATCAAGATATCAAAAAAATAATTACCTTGTATAACCGAACAGCGTGAATTATAACTCTGTGCAGCAGAAATCACATAAAGTGGCCAACAGTAACAAGGTATCAACAGAAATATAAAACAATAAATGATGAATATGTCAACGCCGTGTGTTTGTTAACAGTAGCGTGTCAACATAAGTCTCCAACTGTTTACAAAACAACAAGTGTGCTCATGCATTATAGCAGTCATGGATGTCATTGTGAAATTATTTGGAATATGGTCTATGAAAAATGCATACAAACTTAATTTATTGATTAGTATTGCTAAATCCAATTCATAAAACGTGGCTTATATAATTAATGACGAAACAGCTTGTTTACAAAAGGATTGGTGGCAGGGAATGTGATGACATTGATGTTGCTTGGCATTGGACAGACACACACAGCACTGGGGTAAGCTGTTGCGTTTCAAACTGACCATACCTGTGATCGAGAGAAGCGCTCACACCCCCGAGTCTTTGTGAGCGTCAACGATGAGAATCCAGAGCAGAGTGGAGTAGCTCATTGAAATGGTACTGGAATAGGGGTTGAGACCGGGGATGATTGGTGAAATCATATTTGGTGATTAACATGGAAACTTCCAATATCATCATCAGGCAGCAGCAATAATCTATCCCCTGCTGGATGAAGACCTCTCCAAGTCACTGTCATCTTCCACGATCCTGCGATGATTAGACGTCCTCTCAAAAGCTTGAACATTTCTCAACTCGTCATATTTCATACCGGAAACTTCCCTTCTCTTACGCTCATCTGCTTCTTGCACCGTACAAACGTGATGTAATCTATCATGTACACGTATTGGCTTTCATCACTGCTATATAGGCATTATTATTATATACATTGATCGTTTTGCCTTTGGGTCGCATGAAGTGACCTGTTCAGCTAATAATGCTTGCTCATCATCATCATTAGCCCAGGTCCATCCACTGCTGGACGAAAGCCGATCCGAGCTGCTGCCAATTATTTAACTGCCCTGTTGTTGAACTCAAGTTTCGGCTTGGGTTTCTTCGTGCCAATCATCTGGCGGCATGTTGTGAACACTTTCAGGCTTACAAAATCAGTGAAATGTGCGTCACAATAGCTAATGATTTCGAAAAGCTAACGATCTTCAAAGAGGATGAAAGGCTTCGTGTGACGACTGATTCCCAAAGCCAGCTGGAAAAGCCACCAAAACAACAGCTTCTTGCGGAACATCCATCTCAGATGACCTAATGTCGTCTGCCTGCTATTTCGTCGCCATTACAAATTAATGCAAGAACAAGGATCACAATCAATCCTGAATAGCGTCGGCTTCAGTCTAATAAATTGGGGGGGGGGGGTGGAATGTATTCTGCAGCAAATGTGAATGACATCCCCAGAGACAGAGAGAGACAGGCAGGCAGATTGTCAACATAACTTACATGGCGTCGGTTAATTGTAAAGAGGAAACACAGATATTCCTTTGGTCAATTTGCATTTCAAACTTGTGTGTGTGATTTTTTTTAACACGTGATAAATAATACAGCGTCGTGCCACAACATTCACGTCAAATAATCGAGCCCACACTGTACGCTGTGGCTGGATTCTAGGAAAGTGCAGAGGTGCCTCTGGAGAAATTTTTATTTTAAAACAAATAAATAAATAAACACATTGCCTTTGGTCGTTTGTATCCACCAACGGTGTACCATTGGCTTTAAAGATAAATATTACAAAATGAATATTACAATGCTGCCCAATAAATAAATATTACAAAGTAAATATTACAAAATAAATATTACAAAATAAATATTACAATGCTCCCCAATCCCGTCGAGTGCTCCCACAGTAAAATGTGGGAGCCACGTTGTGTTTTCAAAAAACAACAACCTAACTCCGCTGTCATCGATTGTCATCCAGAAAAAAAAACTCGTCATCTCACCCGGCAAACGAGGGAGGGGATTTATCAACGGGGAGTGATGGAGGGTGTCCGTTTCATCACGTCGCTGCGGCGCGGCTAAGTTGAGCAATCTTTGAACCGAATTGTAAAATCGCCTTGAAGGGAACTCCCCCCCCGACTCTCCCCCACTGCCCCCCCCCCCACCTCCACTTCCTTCGATCACGCCGAGCGCCATGCACCGCCAACAGCGACACGATGGGAACGTTGCGAATCCCCCAAGACAATTACCCTGACCCACGTACAGATGACGTGGGAATAATAATACTGGCTGCAAATCTGGTGGATGATTGGATTAGTGCACTTAAACGTACCATTGTTAGGAGAGGGAGTATTTCACTGTTGATTTTAAATCAGTGTGCATGCAAACTATGCTTGGTCACGTTCTTTTAACTAACAGTTCAAATGGATGTCTTTCCACTCACCACCTAATAGACAGGGGTGTATCGTGGATGTCATCTCTGTTGGTGATCTCGAGCCAGACCCAGACCACTTGTATACATGCTGTGCACGTAATGAGTAATTGTAAAAAAAAACACTCGACACATTACATAACACAGTATAAATCATCTTATATGATTTTATGTGGGGTGGGGGGGGGGGTGCATTGATCCTGTTTTCTGTGTTTTTATCCACACATTTTACTCAAATTATCCAGTGGAGAGGCAAGGATCAATGCGGACAATAGGATGAATATTCCGCTAATGCTGGATTGCTCCTCTTCACCCCTTCATATTGCTGTGCCATCGATGGCAATAACTTCATTGAGACTCCAATCCGTGGAGCAATCCCACCAGCACCACCATCATCATGATTATCATCACCAACACCACCATCGTCATCACCATCATCATCACAAACACAATCGTAGTCACCATCATCGTCACCAGCATCGTCATCACCACTATTGTCATCACCAGCAGTATCGTCATAATCATCATCGCCACCACTACCACACTGGGACATCAGGCATTGGCGATAATGTATGTAGGACTCCCCGAAGTTCCATGCATGAACAATGCCTTCGGGCATTCCCTGGCCATGGATACGTGTGGGTTTTAGAAAGGGTTTTCCAACAGGTCTAGGTCACCTTTTGTTAACCGCACGATTGTTCCAGATAACCGGGAGGATTTTCTGATATGCGTGAGTCACATCTGCCCAAAGTCTCACGTAACCAGAAGAATGGAGCGCAGATAAATATGGAAGGTGCCGTGCATCGTGTAGGGTGGACGTGAATCGTGTAGGGTGGACGTGAATCGTGTAGGGTGGACGTGAATCGTGTAGGGTGGACGTGAATCGTGTAGGGTGGACGTTAATCGTGTAGGGTGGACGTGAATCGTGTAGGGTGGACGTTAATCGTGTAGGGTGGACGTGAATCGTGTAGGGTGGACGTTAATCGTGTAGGGTGGACGTGAATCGTGTAGGGTGGACGTGCATCGTGTAGGGTGGACGTGCATCGTGTAGGGTGGACGTTAATCGTGTAGGGTGGACGTGAATCGTGTAGGGTGGACGTGAATCGTGTAGGGTGGACGTGAATCGTGTAGGGTGGACGTGAATCGTGTAGGGTGGACGTGTAATAAAGACGTTTGTAAGTCGAGTTTCACCCGACTTACAAACGTGCCTACTGAATAGCATTAGGTCGGTATAATTCCTTTAGGATTCCATTCTCAATTTTCTTGACTGCCCAACTCATAAATCGTATTCATTCTCCTTTAGGATGGATAACATAATTAACATCCTGAAGGTGACATAATCACAGTGATCTTGTATAACAACAGCATGGCTCTCTCGTAAAAAATATATAAAGTAAAGAATATAATGATGCAATTTATCATGTCAGAGCGTTGCTTTTCCCCCCCAAACAATTCCAATCACTTCCACGCCGCCCACACTTTGTGTATTCGCGACCCAAAAAGGTAAGTGCTCACGACCGAATTGTAAGCACACATTTTTCAAACTCAAGAAATCAGCCTGTGGTGCAGAGGAGATGTAAGACACCTGCCACAGCCATTTCTCAAGCCGCATTGTTTCGCAATCCACCGTCCAGGGACACTGCCCCACCTTGCCCACCCCTCCTCGTCAAGGCTTTTGTTTTTTTTATGCTGGATCAATATCTTGAGCAAAAAAAAAAGATGCCTTCAACCAGCGTGGCGCTACCAACTAATTTACGAGCATTGGTTTTGGAATCGAATCTTATGAAAAATAACTGTTTGAGCACCGTAGCTTATTTGTTTCCTTTGCAATGTATAAGCATCCACATCTGAAATGGGAAAATGTGTTTCGTTGTTCACACGTTCAATCGTTTACCCCATTCATCATCCGCTTGTCAATTAGTTTGGTGAAAGGTAAAGGGGCAGAACCGCAAGTTTTGCTCATGCCACTGCTGGCAGAAGGGCTTCAACTGAAGTGAGCTCCACAGCAGCTCTCTGGAGTGTATTTGGACCCCTTTTCTACACTCGCCAGACGTCTTGGAAGAGGTGGGAGTCGCCACATGTTACCCCACCACTCGCGACCTGCGAATCGACTGACTGTGGCGTGCCGATTACACACCGCTTGGTAGAGAGTGGAAATTTAAGAAACGCCCACCGTTGTATCAACCGCCACGCCAGGAGATGGAAGCAGCGACTTCTTGATTGCAGAATAATCCATAGAGTATTATATAATAAGCCAAGAATGTCTGCGCGTCCCGCGCATGACGTCGCCCCACGTCGAACAGCCCCCCTCATTAATAATCATTATAAGGTGACGTCCTCCAAATGGACACCCCCTCCCCCCCCCATTAATAAAAAAAATAGTGGGTGACGTCACTCCACATGGGGGGGGGCGAGGCGCCTCCTCCCCCCTCCTCAGCGTCAACTTACAACCCTCACTACAAAGCCAGAACCCTCACGTCACGTGATTTCCGTAACGCTACTGAGACATAGAAGTAAAAAGGACGTCGTGATGAACAAGGGATTATAACCTTCAAATGAAATAAGTCTGTGTCACCGCGCCCTTACAAACTGCGCACGAATGGATGCAATAAATGTCACGTCGCGGTCTGCTTATCGCTTGCAAGTTTCAGATTTACTGCAATACACCCGTCCTTGGACGGGCAAAAGGCGAGTACATATATAAGAGTTAAACGATCAACCGATCAACCAGTAAAACACTTTTGATTGGTTGCAGGCCACGCGCTGGCCAGCTAATCAGAACAGGGAGGGGTCACGGGTGGTCGCCGTGTGCAGGTAGGGGCGCACGGTTGGGGGACGGGGTGTTCGGGGGTAGAGGGGGGGGGGCGTGGTGGGGGGCGCAGGGGAAGGGTGTGCGAAGGGGGGCACGGGCAGGGGTTATGGAAGCTCTTTGCAGCACGTGCTTGCATTGGGCTTGTTTGACCGATTCATTAATGAGCAAATTACCCAGAGAAAATACACATGTCGTGAGTGAAACACTACATTCTCTAATGTAATCTCCTGGCCATCTCGAAGCCCAGCAGATGTATAGTATCTCACACACCGAGCGGAGAAAGCTGAAGAGACGGGTTGAGACGTGAAGAGATGGGGAGACGAACGGTGGTCATCGACGCTTTTGTTAAAGCGAAATTAATCAAGCGGAAATGAGCGGGACACGTCGTGAGAACAACTGAAACAACTGACGAGGAATAACAGATTAAACTAACTACGGAGTGGAGACCGGGAGAAGGCGAGAGAAGCAGAGGGAGCCAGCGCAAGAGAAGTCAGGAGCGAGACGACATCACAGAGTTCGGAGGCCACCACTGAATACGAAAAATTAAGGAATGGAACAAAATTGGAGCGGGTAAGTTATATGCTGACAACAATAACACATATTCTTAGTTTTTTTTTCGGTAAAGTCACGTTGAAGGGAAACAACAAAATAATAAAATATATAGAAAACAATAAAAAATAAATTGTTTTATATGTGTTTTATATATATTTTATTATTTTGTTGTTTCCCTTCAACGTGACTTTACCGAAAAAAACTAAGAACATGAATTACTGCAGTCACGAAAGCTTTAAATCAAAACAATAACACAATTAAATTCCACATTCCCGTGACAGGAGTCATTTGCTCCAAAGAACAACGACTGTTGACCGCCACAATGGTTAGAATGGTCATCTACATAAGTATTCGATGCAATTCCACCGCGCAGCGGAGGCAGAGTGACATTCCTCGGAAGCGCAACACTGCCACTCGGTGCCTTTGCCATCGAGTGGAATAACCTTGAAGATGGCGAGAGCCGAAGGAAGTGGCCACGTGCCATCTCTATTTAGCACTCAGCCACCACCGCCACGGCAATGAGTGAAGTGTCGATGGGTTCACACCGTTGCTTTCCCCAGAATGAAATAAAGTGGTGCACAGCCCCCACTACCCCCCCCGTTGGTAAAATAAAATATGCCCAAACATGTCTGTACCCACGGATACAAGGGTTCGGGTTAGAGCAAGAGGCCAACACGCTGCACCCAAGTGGGTTTCACGAACAACGCGGACAAAAAGAGACGAGCCGGGGAGGGGTGAATGGACTCAGCAGGACGCCTTCAACGCGGCCGCTCCACGTCAAGGAATAGTAAAAAGCTAAGAAGACCAAAATGAATGTCGCACTGCGCGGAATTGCATTCAAATTAGTAGCGTGTGCGGTTTTTAATTACCGATGTAAAACACGCATTCTTAAAGTGACAATGAAAACCGACCGCCGGTGTTTGTTCTCGAGCGCGTCGGTGTGTGTGCATGTGAGCGGCGCATTTTATATTTAATAGTGGAACTGATATTGAATTCAAATGAGTGCCGCGCATGTCTATGAGAATTACACAGGAGTTAATTAGCACTATTGGTCCATTGCAATGAATAGAATGCGGTGAATCTCATTCTAACTCTTTGTAAATATATTCTAATGTATACATTTTTGATGCAGCAATGAAATCAGTTTATTTCGCAAGAGTTGGGGAGATCAATTGTTACACCACAGGATCACGAGAGATAGCGGCGGCGTGAGGGTGCCCTTCATCCAGCAGTGGATTGTCCAAGGCCGATGACATTTACTTTGACGTGATGGCCTATTATGGCTTCAGGTATTTTATCACCGATGAATCGAGCACATTATGTTGTTTGTAATACATTTGGTGAAAGCGTAAATATATATTTTATTTTAAAGTACTAAACCACAAACGCGAACTTTTAATATGCACATCCAATTGCAGGAAATTGACACAAGGTAGCTGTAGTATTTTTACTAATAAACTCTTTTCGGGTTAAACTGTATCCAATTTGAAACCATTAACCCATCTCAGATGTCAGAGCTTTCTTTGTCGAAATTAATTTACCAAAATATGCACATTTTTTCGTCGCACTAGAACCTCTGAATTATATTATCACCACATCAAGCTTGTAACCGATACAATCCCTGGAAGAAGAGGTCCTATTATTTGGGAAAATTTACTTCGGAAATCATGTTGAATATTGCCGACTTTTTGAAAGTCCCAAGACCACTTTTGTCCCTTCCATTATGAGGAAATGGGCAGACGCATCCTGTTGGATGCTGTAATTACCTCATGAACGTGCACAATGTTTAAATGTGTGTTCTCTTACCAGCTCCCATCCCAGTGAATAAATACAGCTGAGGTGACCTCTCAGCACTAAACCAGGAGGACCATGCCCCAAGGCATTGGATGTCAAGCCCGGCGCTACATCAGAGCACAGAACTGTCACACCCCCTGCCCTTGTCTGTATCACTTGAAGACAGCACCGGGTTTAATGATGCTGGACTGGTGGCCAACCTAACTAACTCCATCATAGCATTGCAGCGCAATATTCTGCACTCTCTGTCTGCTAAGAGATAATGAGCGTGTGGCGAATGTTAACGCTGTCGACCAAAGAACAAAGTCAAATTAAACATTATACACGCACTGTAGTGTAGAGCGGGGCTTTCTGATTATTCAAGTAATGGACTGCTCCCACAACTGTCAGTTCGATTGCGTGTAATCTCCTGTTTCTCACATGTGCCACTGGACGGGAGGTTAGTTGCGGGGCTTGGTAATGTCGTCAGCCGCATCGTGCTCGACATGGCTTGTAAGGGTCTTGATAGCCGAACACAACCAAAATAGTTGATGGTACTTTTGTCGTAGATTCGTCGTTTTAATCGACAACTTTGCCCAGCTCTACCGCACGCATTTATTTATTTCGCGTATTTATTTATATTAAATTTACGTGAGCTGTGCGTCCTCAGATCAGTGGAGACAACACCGATCCAAAACAAAAGTCTCCTCTGTCTGGAGTTGGTAACACGAGACTTAAACATCTGGAAGGACTTGCATTTAAATGTCGTGCTCTTAGCTGTTTTTTTTTACAAAACCTCAATTTAGAAGACGTTACAAAGTAAGTTTATTTGACAACATATGACCGCAGACATTAATGATTATCCAATGAAGTAATTTTCTGTTGAAGGTAACAATGACATGGAAAAAGTTTGTGAAGTTGTTACAATGCATTCTGCACTTTGGCATTTCACTGGAAATGTGAGGCTCCATTATAAAAAAACGCTATTAAGCAAACATAATGTTTTATTTCAAACAGCAATGTCATACAACTGTCTCCCAACGATTATGAACGTAGTAATTGTTCTCATGAATGTCTTATTACACATTAACTGGATATAAAGACTATATACTAATTTAAAGCTACATTTCACCACATGATATACAAAAATCTTAATAGTGTTTCCATTTCGTTAATTGGGGTCTTGAAGAACAAAGCCACTTTCAGTAAATGGCTCCATACTCCTAATCGTGTATGCTGGCAGTATGTCCACACAAGCTCCACACAGGTACATCTGAAATGACTTCGGACTGATCATGTGATGGACACACATCTCCATGGAAACAAAAAAGGCAGCTCTGTAAACTTTGTGTTCAAAATAATCACATTTTAAATGCAAAAAAAAACCGTTTACTCTGGGCCCTGCCCGAAGCACAGTTCCACTGGCAGCAGAACGATTAACACTCTGCGTCTTCATTTCTGTACTGATAAAATAGCACGGATTTTAATTTTGCAACACAACTTGTTGCCAAACATTTGTTTTAAAGCGCGCAATCTCCTTGTGGTGTAGCAAGCGCGTAATGTGTGAGCACACCGTCTTTGTGTAGGGACTACAAGCCGACGATCGAGATCCTGTAACTGTTTTCACGACAATAGGCAATTTACGTGGCGCGTGGTGGGGCAAATGGCTCGTTGTATACATTTCAGAAACTTGAAAAAAATTGGAACATTTCTCATTTTGTGCTTGTAAATTGTTGATGATTTTACCGTACGAGGACTTGCTACCGTGTCGAGTGCAATCGGGAGGTTGATGCACCTGGCCTCAAAACAGGGCCTGACATTTCAAATGAAAGACAACAAAAAAAAGCAAAAGAAAGATCGTTAAACTAAAATTTGGACAAAAACACGAGGTGAGTTTTCTCGCAGGGAAAGCCGAAGAAGACATACACATTATAAGTACTGCCAACTTGCTTCTGAAACGGAGTTTCAAATCCACGCGCTGAAGGAGCCGAACCGTAAAGTCGCCAAAGAAGTCGCAGCTGAGCAGGCGAGGCCACCGCTCACAGTACCGTACGTCCACAGCGCGGGGGCTGAAGGCGCGGAGAACCTCACGTGGCAGTGTAGATGTAGACAAAGACAATGACCAGGAGGTTGAGCACGGTGCCCACAATCCCGAGAGCGGCCAGTATCGACTCCTCTTTGCTCTCCTCCGCTCTCCTGCCATCTCCCTCCTCCACGCGGGCCCCGGCGCCCGCGTTGGGAGCCGGCAGGGGAGCGTGGAGGCCGGCGGCGGCGGCGGTGGCACTCGGCGGGGCTGTGCTCGCGTTCCCGGTCGCGTCCGCCTCTCTGGTGCCCATGCGGTCTGGGGGCATCCTGCCGGTGACCTGCTGCACATTGACAAGACGGGCAACGTGACGTTTTTTTCGATCGGTGTTATGAGATGAAGTGTCAATTCGTATCTCTCAAAGAGCATTGCGAAATCTTTTGAGTTAGAGAATGGGCATGTCTAGAGAAGGGACATGTCTATGCAGTTGAGGAAAACACTTTCTCCTCTGCTGTGCATATTCGAGGAATGTTCATCGCAAAACAGCCAAACATATATTTAATTCTCAGAGCTGGACATTAATTAAGTGCACAACCAAATTGAATGTGATGGGTTTTTTTGTGCATTTATTGGTGACTGGGCTTAAGACCATCAACTCCCTACACTTGAAAACCCCGGACTAATCACCGGCAAATACGTGAATTCAAAACCAGGACCTCATCAGTGCCGACTCACCGCTCTGAACTCAACCACTCAGCCACTGCCTGTTACGACACGATTCCTCACGATAAGCATGCCCTGTGGTCTTTACACAAATCAAAATCAATGTGTCGTCATGTGCAAACGAGTGTGGAGTGGTTCTAATCCCCATTTCTTTCCGAGAGCCAGTGGTGCAAAGTCCACTTTCCCGTGCCGTATGCCAGTTTATCCACAGCAGACAACCTCTGTTGACTTAACACAAAACTGTGCTAATTTTATTGACCCCGAGAGGATCGTGAGCTGAGCCAAATAGCCCAATCGGGATTTGAACTCGTAACCTCATAAATTTGAATCGGGCCCTCTTCCGCAGTGACACCCAGCCAGACAAAAAGTACATATTCAATATACCGGAAGTTGTTATTGCTAGCGAGCACAAAGAACCATTCATCGTTTATTTGTTGACCCACATTGATGTTGCTTACAGCCAGCCAGCCAAACCACACCCATATGCGCAGCTGTGCAATTGAAAAAGAAGTTGATCTCAAATTTGCTCGGGTTTATACCCAGAAAGAAATATCAAATATATATATATCAATTTATGAGCAGCACAGTCATTAAACACATATAAGGTACAGCCGTGTATTAATCCACTGCTGGATGGAGGTTGTTTGACCATACTTCACCATGCTGATTAGTGCGATCAGTTGACAGGGTGCCCAGCACTGATTCTGATATCACTCCACACGGATGATGTAATCCATGGCCGGGAATCGAACTCAGGTGACCAAGTTCATAGCGTAATTCCCTTATGACTACACCTCTACCACACCAGCCCAGTCGCACTGTGTAATATTCGGTTTGAGCTTGTGTGCCAGTAATTCCAATGATCGTAAGAATGATGCATGACGATGATTAATGGCTCAATGGGCAAGATGATGACCATCATGAACATCTCCATCATCATTAGTCGCTGCAACATCTCATTACATTCTCAAACGCCAACAATAATATGTATTAATCCTTGGCATTATGCTGATCAAAATTATTATAATAAGCGCCATGCTGACTCGGTATAGCTTTATTATTGGATCTGTGCTTTTGTGAGCATTGTGCTCATCATCAACCTAATAACGACCTGTAGACCACATGGGGCACAATTGTCCAACGAAATCTATGCATTATCAATCCCTCTCCGCTGGAAATGATATCTCTTCGACAAGCCGTCCACATCTTGTATCCAAGCTGACACAATAACAAGGACCGCCCTGTGCTCACACAGTGGTCTTCCCCTAGGTCAAATTCCAGCTCATTTGGGGGAACACCACGACCTTCTCATGTTTGACAGCCTGAAGAAAACGACCAGCCGATCCAAGTGTTCTTCTCACCACAATACGTTTGATTGCACCCATTATTAAGTGCATGCGTATCGACACGAGTATGAATTGCCATTGATATCATGCGCTGCTCAAGGATGACTTCAAAGCTATTGGGTTATGTTTGTTTATCAAATTAGAACGGCATTGGATTATGTTTTCTCTAATTGCAGCGTGTCCGTGTCGTTTGTGTACTAAGCTCCTGGCATTGCCGATGATTTAAACACGTCTAATTTTAAGAAACTAACGTTAACATTTTGCTGGATTTCATTCAGCTTTATTTAGGTACATGTGATTTCACTGCCAATGCTCGGAAAATGACAACACAAATTCAATTGCATTTTCTTTGGCTGCTTATTCACAGTTTACGTTTATATCTTCTACAGTGAATGGAAATTAATATTGATGCTAACCAATCATGTGAATAGTATCAAAGTTTAAACCAATGAACAAAATACATGTAATGTTTAAAATGATCAAATTTAAGATTAACAATGGATTAATGGCACACTGAACTAAAATGAAAATGACACTGAAATACTTTATTACAATCATTTGGCATGGATACATTGCAGTCTATTAATTTATATGTACAAAATGTAAATATATATGCAGGCCGCCCTGGTTATCTTTCTGTGCACCTGGTTTATAAAGTCCTTATGCGGTTACTCTGACAAATCAGTTCCTTTATAGTCAAAGTTTTTATTTGCGAGCCACAGCCATGCGTAACAAACAAGCTGAACATATACGACATTAATTAGATTCGCTGGTCTGGTAAAACTACAACAATGGGAGCTGCCGTGCTGAATTGTTAGCTCCAAGAAGCTGAGCTCCAGAGGGTCACTGGTTCAATTTCCGGGTGCGGCAGTTTAAACAATGAACAAGTTTCTTAAAGCCACACCCCGAAACTGTTCACCCAGCAGCATACATGAGTACAGCACAGTGAGTCAATTCGTAGTAGGTCATCGCGTGTGGTGGGGTAAAGTGAGCGTCCTGCCACCTCTTTCCAAGGCATATAGCCAGTGTGGAAGAGTAGGCCAAATAACCTCTAGCGTCTAGAGGGTCTCTCTAGAGCGTCCGCCAGCGTAGGCAAGCAATTGCAGGGCTGCACCTTAAACCTTTAAACAATACAACAATTTCGGACGGGTGAGTGCAACGCACATGGAGCAAATACGTGCAGCAGCAGCCTTTTTGTTGAACTGGAGCTAAAATCGCACTCGTGTGCTTGGCATTTACTTTCAATGCAGATGCATTGCTCGCAGAAGTAAACACATTTAATGTAAAGTTACGATCATACGAATGGATGATGATTGACGACTGGGTCGTGAATTAAACAGCGTCGTACTTATGCAGCAGCAGCGCTGCAAAAAAACGTCGAATGCTCAGGTTTATTGCGATCACATTTCTGTTGCAAATCAAATTTACAATGCGCACATTCAGAATAAAAGGTGCAACATTAAAAAAAACGCCAGTAAGATATTTCACAGATAGCAAAAAACACTTACCGCATTCCACATAACTGTGGGTGGAAAGCTATTCATTACTTGGCTTGCAATCACTGTGTGGCAGATTCCATCGGAATGAAGAAGTTTTCGGCAAGAAGGCTCTGCAGCCTGATCGCCGGCAGGTCCACGGAAGCATCACAACAACATCCCAGAAGTGGCCGCTTGCTCGCTCCTCGTGTGCTCCTTCTCCCTCCACCAGTCAATGCCTTAAAATCCTTGGCCACGTTTTGTTCCTTCCGTGTAGCAGGACAAAGCAAGACAGCGTCGGGATATAAATATGATACATCCGAGGCTGTGATGAATCTAAAAAAAAGTTTTAGGAAAGAATCGAAAAATAAATTTTCGGAATTGTAACTAGAATGAATTAAGAATTCATATTATTTGAGAATATTGCTTGACGATGATGATAGCATGGGGGGGGGGGGTGAAAATAAATCTCAAAATTTAATTGTTGAACAAATCCTTTTGGCTCAGGTTGATGTATTCCTGGCTGTTGTGCATCAATGCCAACAAAAGATGGTACAACAACAAAAAATCGGGAAAAAGTCAACCACACTTCACATCACGCCTTCTGGAGTGACAGCCAAAACTATTCCCGCGAGGCAGCTAGGAAGACGAGAAAAAAAATCAAAGGATTTCCATTCGTGTCAGATCAAAGACAAGCGAAATGGTATGGAAAGTTCTGACATCAAGATTCGGATGGTTGATCTTTTTTTAAGGACTATTGTTAATTATTATTGTTATTTATTTTAGGAGGGGAGTGGTGCGGTCAGGGGGAGAGAGTTAGTCACAAATGTAATCTCCTCCCCACACTTCCCGCACCAACAACAAATACCATGGTGGTACCGATTTCAAGGAGAGACCGTTTCGGGGGGCTGTGGTCAACGCTGACAAAAAGACGTGGAAAAAAATCCGTCGCTCGGGTTTTTTTATTTTTAGGTGAAGAGGGATGCCTGCCACAGCTTGCGCACGTGTGCCTCTCCGCTCATTCCGGGGTGCGTGCCTGCGCGTGTGTAGCTTGCGCGTGAAGGGCAGAAGAGGCGGACGCACCACGTGTCGCGAGCCCCGGAGGAGGAGGAGGAAGGAGGCGGCGGCGGCGGGTACTCCCTCGGCTGATTTTGCATTGCTCGCTCCAGTTACAATAAATCACCAGCGAGTGACAGCAAAGGAACCTCCGGTTGCTCAGCCCAAGCACTCCACTTCTTTTCATTAAGTCTGCCTATCTCCCCTCGATTCCCATCCTCCTTCCTTCCCTCGCTCGCTCGCTCACTACCGCCCACCCCCTTCCCTCTTGCCCCCCACCGCCACCCAGCCAACCCGGTCAAACTCTCCGAGATTTCTCCTCCCACTCATGACTGTCCAGAACCTACGCATCCTCTTCGACTCCAACCTCCCTACACCTCCATTCCCCCTCCCCGTTCCACAATTTAATTCAATTTGCCCGAATTTGAAGCCAATGAGAAACGTTGAAGACGGACAAACAAGAAGTGGCTCATATTCAGCCAAGGGTTTAGGCTCTCACCAGCAGAATGAACACATGTTTTAATGAATTGTGACCTAAATTATCATTCGCAAATAATCCCATGAGAACATTCGCAGTGCCGTGCACACAGTAACATGCAAGACATTTTCTTAATGTGAATGGATATCGATTATTTCATTCCTCCACTTTGGCCATCATTTAATTTTTAAAAATAAGATTTGTGTTTTCTTAACGTACATGACACTATTGATATTGTTGCAAACCAAACCCTTTATCTTCCTGTACACTGACTTCCCACCTTAAGCATGCATCATATTTGAAGATCAGAGCTTTACAACAATGGCCCTGAAATCCACACTGGCCGACATGTGTGTGCGTATAATTTTGTTTTTATATAGACGTTCATATATAACGTTAAAAAATGAAGCATTTCTTTACATTTATTTTATTACAGTGGCCTGTAAGAAAAGCCCTTCTGGCTAAATGATTTAATCATTTTTTATAAAGCCAGACTGGATTGGGGATTCCCAGTTAAACAAACCGACGCATCGCTGGCCAACGCAAATTCTCGGCTTCTACTTCATTCTGCGATATGGCGTCTCGGTTCATTCCGCTCCAATTAAAAGTTGTCCGCGCTCGGTACACAGGAGCGGTGTTTTAATCATTGCAGCACAATAGCAATAACCTAGTATGCATTTCGCACGATATTTTTCATTGTACCTTGACATCTCTATGTAGCAGATCCCTCTCAAATGTTTTGTTTATAAGGAAATCAATAAATCACGACTTCGAACAGTAATATTTCTTTCACAAGAGATTATAAGAATGCTTATATCTTCTTGGTTCTTTCGGTAAAGTCACGTAGAAGGGAAATAATAAAATTATAAAAATAAAACAGAATAAAATAAAATTCTCACGTTTCGGCCACAACACAAGCATGCTTATAGTTCCTTTACACTCGATGTCAACATGTGAAAAAGCAAAGGCGCAGTCCTGCAACTGCTTGCTCATGCCACTGCTGGTCGTAGAGCTCTAGAGACCCTCTCTAGAGTATCATAAAATTGTTTCATTTTTCAAGATGTTTATAATAGAGATGGAATGATGCATCAAATCATCAGCTAATGATGATTACTCAGCACAAGATGCATGCACAGATTGGCACGTGGGAGAATGTATTCGTTTCAATTCGTGGACGTTATATTTAATTGGTTCCCATCACTCAGGTAGTGAAAGTAATTGGACTTAAATAACAAGCAGAATGAAATCTAGGATCGAATGGTGACATCCATCGCAATTCATTGAATCTCCAGAGGGCTCAATTGTTCCACATCTAGTTTGAAGGCTGACAACCTATAACATATATGCAAAGAGGCGTCTTCTACAGCAAAACATTACAATAATCCCAGCATGCTTTGCATGTCAAGTTGACATCACCTTTTTCGAGTGTTATTCTGCATATTCACGCACAATTTACCTTCGCGAATGAGGGTGCTTTCTTTTGCACGTCGATGTGAAAGTCAAATAATACATTTAAAAGTGTAAATGTATTCACTTGTCAGCACAGCTGCATATGCTTGTTTGTTGGGTGGAGGCCATGGTGTTACAATGTTTTTGACAGAATCGTAATGCTTGGGTTTTTCCACAGAGCAATGAGCGCTACGCGACATTTCGCGATAGCCACTGGGGGACAGTTGGGAGACAAACAAGACCGAGATAAGATTGACAGAGGTCACGGACGACGTATGGCAGCGTGCCAACGTCAGGTGACAATGAGCTGAATAAAGAAGATGTATAAATAAAACGAGACACTGTACATCCTCTCGACATTGTTGTGCAATTGGCTGACAGCGCGAATGGAAACATTTGCATTAAAATACGATTCTACAAAAAAATGAAAACATTTCTAAATATGTATTTAAATAAAACCTGCAACCACCAACCAAAATCTAGAATTTGAAAAAATGCAGCTGTCCACGTATTGCATTTGCAGCATTATACTTTTAATGAGATTATTCTAGGTGGCATTATAAAACAAACACATATCTCATCTGCTTTGAAGTCAAGAGCTATTATAGCACTCACACCAAAAAAACTTCACCCCAACCAATCAATCCGACCAATGTAGATAACAGAACCCATTTCTCATTTAGCTTCAGTCATTTCATATATTTATGGCGTATTTTTTGACATCACTGTGCATTTTGTTTCAGCCACAATGTTGCACTCTTTTTGTTCACATTAATGCCTGGTTTGTGTTCTTACTCGTTATACTCAAATTCACTTTACAACGCCCGTTTTTACTTTGATCAACTCTGAATTTGAATGTATTGCACTGTGAAACCTATTTTTTTATAATTATATTTCTTCTTTAAGATGTTTCATTTTGAATGTCCATATGCAGCTCGAAAGAACACTCTACTGTTGCAAAAGGTTTGGTGTTTAAACTGTGTTTTGTTTCACTCTGGAACCTTTTGCTGTAATGACATTTGTTGTCTTTATGTTTAACATTCTAATTTGTTACATTAAAACCTGTTTGCTGTTATAATGGAGTTGTTTTTTTTATTATTCAGTTGCTGAGCAGAGAATCAAACGTCAATAACCAATGGCTGTTGAAATGTATTTATAATTCACCAATGCCTCTTTTTAACAATAAACTTCTGGTTTCAATAAACTCGTATCTGATCTTAAATCACGAAATTAAAATGAACTGACATGTCTTTAGTGTTTGAATTTCGTGGCTTCTGCTACCCAACAGTAGAGAAGGCACTCTTCTACAATAATAATAATAATAAGAAGAATATCAATTTGTAACGCACCATTGGGCAGAGGCCACGAGGAGGAACCACAGACGAGCGGGAATGGCAGCAGCCACGTGATGGGCCGGCACCAAATTCCTCCTAAAGCTCTGCAGTCCCGGACATGTGAAGGTGTTATCGGCCAACGAATGAGTGTTTACTCGCGAGAGGAAACCGCGGTCCCCGAAGAAAATCCATGCGTGCGACAGGGCAACTCTCTATCCCAGACAGATGGAACCGCTGAAGTCCACATTTGCTGTACTGCATTGTCTTGGCAAGCCAGGGCATGGCACCTCGATGCTCACAAGAAGGGCGTTTCACAACATTTGTGTGATCCACCAACCCCCGCCGTCGCAGTGCTAGACTACAGGCGTGTGCCAGGTCAGGTCGCAAATATTTAATCATTAACAGCGCTGTATACACTGCTTGTTAAAGGCCTGCCCGATGTACGCATGTATGTTGAACTTCTTCCGCACCGTACGTAGCCCACCGTGCTAATCAGAGGTGCGGTGGAAGGACAACGAAACACAAAATCAGTATCGGTCACGGGGGTTGATTGACGATACTTCGCCATACTGGCGAGCGTGGTTTGGTAACAGCGGTTAGATATTACCTGTCACTGATGTTAGCCGTGGCCTGGAATTCAACTCAGATCGCTGGGTTCATATAAAAGTGCGCCACCGCTCCACCTCCCTTATGGCTTGACAAGCTGTCTACAAGCTGTGTGCCGCTACATTGACAATCGGGCGGGGCTCACCTCCACACGTCGCTCCTGATCCAGCGGCACAAATCCGGCAGAAAGCGCCGGCCAGAGAACGGTCCCCGTGTCCAGATGCCAGCGAGAGCGTGGCGCTGCCGCGGTGCCATCGGCTCGCGAGGCAGACGGATCGTGGCATGGAACGCCGTGACCTGCCACGGGTCGCGTTGTCTACGCGGGCCTTGAAAGGCGCGGGCCCGCGTGACAACTCCTCTGCCTTCACTGGCACTGCCCACGAGTGCCAATCCTGCAAAGCGAGGTCCCTAATGCCAAGGACAGCGCCGTGGCTTCAATTAGCGCGCTGATTATTTCAGCGTCCGTACGCTTTGCGATTGGCGACAAAAAAAATGATATCCGATGTGTAATTAAGCCTCACCGAGTGCAAGCATTCCCACCTCCCTCCATCCCTACCCCCGAAGAGATGCAACACATTGGCTGTGTGCCTTTGCGCAAGGATTGCTAAGTAAGCATCGTTTCTGGGAAAAAAAAAGTTCGCTTTTAGCCCTAGTTTTAAACTCCCTGCACCGCGGTTGAAATAATGGTGCAGGCTCCTTTAAATCCCCCACGTCTCGCCATTTGTGGCCAGATCGCTTATAAAAGCAGCGATATAGCTCAGTTAGTTAACTATTTTTTAAAAAATGTAGTTGCATTTTTAGTTTCAGGTACAGGAGCGAGATGGATTGTTGCATATTGCGCCCATGAGGGATGGTAATGACTCTGAGGAGCATATTTCACAGTTGTACATGTATATAGTAACTACAGCGGTAATATGCAGCAGTCAATAAATCATGGCAGGTCATGATGCTGATGATTATTTGGCAAGAGATGCATTGCCATGTATGTCCGTGTGTGCAATCAAAATATCGGAACCAACAAACCAAAACAGATCTCGCATGTTCATGGGCACCCCACGTCACCTCTCACCTGCAGAGTTGCGCGCTGCACTGCGGCCGAGCGGATGCATTCACCGTCTTCACGAAGCGTCGAGGGCAGCGCTCTTCACTGCAAAGCCCGCGGGCTCCTGGCGGCCCTTGGTGTCCTTTAGTGCGGCCCCAGACAACACACAACACGTGAAAACAGCCCCCATTATGCTTAACAATTAGGCTTTTGCGATCAATGTTATCCAGAAGAGGTTTTTTGGGTTGGATCGTATAAATATAAATGTGTTTAGTTTTGAAGCTTTCGTGACTGCAAGGATTCATACTCTTTAGTTTTTTCGATAAAGTCACGTAGATAAAAAAAACACATGCCATCGCCTGCACACGGCAATCTCTCCGTCCCCCTAACCCCCTGCAGCATAACAAAAGGCGGCTTAACTTAGCCCCCCCCCCACGGCCCATCCTGGCTCCTTCCCCCCCCCCCTTAACCTGTATATAATCTCGAGTCTCTTAGAGCTCTCTTCACTTGATACAGCAATTTTGCTGTGACGGTTTCCACCTGAAGACGGAAGCTTGTGTTGCCTCCGAAACGTCGTGATTTAATTTAGTTGTTTTCATTTATTTTATTTTATTGATTTTTTTTTACCTACGTGACTTTACCGAAGCAACCAAAGAGTATAAATGTGAGATCCTTCAACAAACTCCGGGATAAGAAGGCTCAGCTAATCGAGTCTCTCAGCTTTATAAAGAGATGCCGTGACACTAAGGTAATACCAACCGCATTTACACTAACCTCTGCTGCTTTAACTTTTTCTAATGCAAAACGAATTCTATCTAGAACTAGCTTAGCTCTTATCTCAGAAAAAATCAGACTTACGTGCACCGAACTAGATCAGTTAGACAAGACACTCTACAAATCACACTTATCATTGACGGCAACAATGTCCACATCGGATTGGGAACATGTAGATAATATGACTGCCTCTTCAGCTGCCACTGTCGACCAAATGTAGGGACAATTTGATTTCCAAAATTAAACCGCCTCTCCAACAAGAAATCGGACTCACACACCGAAAAGCTAGACGTTAACAAAGTCGTAATTAATCGCAGTAACAGTTCTATTTCTGATGGTCTGAAAGCCGTTTTAGCTAAAGGGCTAAACTGTGCAGTCACACCTAAACACATACCAGTTAATGATATAATTGCCCATGTCGACGTGGCACTCAAGGGCCTGGGTCACATCGCTGCAGACGTAGCAAGATCTGAAATAGCTGCAACCCTCAAAAACGCTAAGATGCCAGCTAGCAACATCAGCAAAGATGAGCGCATTGAATTATCTCAATTAAAAAAGAGGGATGACATTGTCATCCTCTCAGCCAACAAGGGCAATGCCACTGTCATCATGGACAAAATAGAATATAACAACAAAATTCAGGAACTATTCAACGATGGCAGCTATATAAAAATAAGAAGAAACCCCACCAACAGCCTGATTACTAAAACCAACAAAATCATTTCTAATTAAACAGCATTAATTGATCAAACCAAACAGTTCTTGTTGAAACCTTCTGCAGCCAGGCCACCAAGATTATATGGCCTCCCAAAGATACACAAAGAAGATATACCCCTTCGTCCCATCGTCTCTACTATCAACTCCCCCACCTACAAACTGGCTCGTTTTCTGTCTGAAATCCTGCGGCCTTTTACTGGAAAAACCACCTCTGTGGTACTAAACTCTACTCACCTGGTATCGACAATCAAGGGTATTTCCCTGTCCCCAGACGACCTACTTGTCAGTTTTGATGTGGTTTCCTCAATCACCAACGTTCCTGTACCTGACACCATCGCAATCATTGAAGACTTGGTTCATCAAGGACTGCATACTGATGTACCCCCACTGGTGAGACACTGCTTAACTAACACATACTTCACCTGGAATGGAACTTTCTACAAACAAACTGAGGGGACCCAAATGGGCTCCCCCCTATCTCCGATTGTAGGCAACGTTTTCATGGAGAAATTGGAGACTGACGCCATCCAGACTGCCATTCTACTCCCGACCTTATGGAAGAGGTACGTGGATGACACTTTTGTCATCTGGCCACATGGCCGGCCTGCTCTAGACCAATTCCTCGACCACATCAATTCCATACACCCAGCCATCAGATTTACCATGGAAGTCGAAAAAGGTGGCAAGCTACCCTTTTTGGATGTCCTAATTAAAAGGAGACCTGATGGTTCAATGAGCCACTCTGTCTACAGGAAAGCTACCAATACGGATGCTTACTTAAAACCGGATTCCCACCACCATCCATCCCAGAAGATTCCCTCATCAAGACTCTATACCATAGAGCTCAATGCATTTCCGACCAGGAACACATTGCCAGTGAACTCAAGCACGTACACCAAGCTCTCAAAGCTAATGGTTACTCCGACTACACAATCCGCAAAGCCATCACTCCAGCCATGAAGAAGGATCCTTTTGAGGAGCCATTCAAAACCATCACCTTACCCTACATTGCGGGGGTCACAAAAAAGATCTCCAAAATCCTGAATAAACACAAGATCCAGATCCGATTCAACATAGTACATAAAATCCGTGATCTGGTTCATTCTGTAAAAGATGTGGTCCCAGACATACAGTACCCGGGCGTCTACAAACTAAGTTGCCTCTGTGGTAGCAGCTACATTGAAGAAACCAAACGACATATCTCGGACCGCATCCGTGAACATAAAGCAGACTTGAAACACGGTAGGACGAACACCTCAGCCGTGGCAGATCACTGTTTAAATTCAGTGGGCTCACATGACATTGACTTCTCCAAGACGGAGGTTCTCTGCAAGCCATCCGGCTACCATGAGAGATTCGTTCATGAGGCCATCCACATATACAAACAGAGACAATTTCAAGCGAGAAGATGGATTCTGGCTTAGTAACCATTGGAAAGACGTTATAAACCATTTCGGTTCTTGATTGATTGTATTTTACGGTGACTTTCAGTCCATTCGCTGGCACTGCCTCTTAGTACCTTTCACACGACGGTTAATGGTATGGTTTATAGCATGTTGTATAATAACAAATAGTATAACAGTATAATGTTTAACATAATTCATAAGGCAATATATAGTATCGTAATTGTATAGTGAATATACAGCAGTGTGGTATACAGTAGGGTTGGTACAATAATACATAGTGTAATATTACAAGTCAAATATTTTATAGTCTAAAGATAGGGTAGTGTAAAGTAACGCATTGTATAATTCAAAGGTGGGGTTTGTCTATGGCAGTGTATATTACGGTGTATAGTCGTGTAATGTAGAAAAAAGTTTAGTTGGAGACATATCAATATAATGCATAATGTTAGAGCTTACATTGGGCTGTGTATACGATATTATACAATGTAGTTTAGATTGGAAGGTATAATATTGTAATGTATAGTCGTCTAGTTTATAACATAGTTGTAACGCAACACAGGACAGAGCAGCGCATCGTGGTTGTGTCCCCCCCCCCCTCCGTTCCGAGCATAGATGGACTCGTCCGTCTGAACAAAGCTCGTCGCTTTCCGTGGTGCTAACGTTGAAGAGAAAAAACCGCCACCATTTTTTCGACATAGAATTGTAATGTATAACATCTTATTGTTAGTAGCTCAGCTGATTGGAGAGTATATTGAGTTTATTGAAAACATTGATGTAGTTTATATTTTAGTTTTTTATCAGTTTACTATATGGTATTCATTATATAGTGTAGTGTATACCCAGTTACTTTATGTTAATAGCTCAACTTATTGAAGAATATATTGAGTACATTTATGATATTGATGTAGTTTATACTTAATTCTTTCACATCGGCTTATTGTATGATAGTTGGGTAGTTGCAGTTCTTTAGCGTCAATATACTAAATGCCTCTGTTGATATGTAAACTTTAACATATCTCCTTCCGTGACCAGTTACATGCTAATCCTTCACATTAACATCATGCTAATCTCCCAGTTAATTTCTGACTTTAACACACTGCTAATCCAACACTTTAACACAGCTATTTAAATGCTAAATTCTTCTGTTGATATGTAAACTCCTTTGTCAAGGCGCTGTGCTCCTCCCACCCAGCTTAAAAGACGCTGCCAAGTTTAGCAGTGTTCATTGAAGCGTTGTCGTCCCGACAGTTCTGTTCCTTCACCTGAAGAAGGCTACTTGTGTTGTGGCCGAAACGTCGTGAGAATTTTATTTTATTAAGTTTTATTTTTATTATTTTATTTCCATTCTACGTGACTTTACCGAAAGAACCAAGAAGATATAAATGTGTCGTTAAACCTGCCACCACCCGATCCAGCTAATTAGCAAGGTTTCTCACTAATTCATACGTGTTAAACTGTTTCTCACTAAACCAAACATGCCAATGGGTTACTAGTTCAGCACACCGATGTTTTGGAGAATAAACCCACGACATTTACAATTCGAGTACGACGTTTCGACAGTAATTATAACTACCATCATCCAACACACCGGTGTGCTGAACTAGTAACGAATTAGCAT